CCCGAAGTGTTTGGTGAAATAAGAAAAAACAACCACCGTCGCAAAATAATTCTTCATCACGATAATGCGAGCTCTCACACATCTTTTCAAACTACTCGATTTTTGACCGGTCAAAACATCGAACTGATGGGTCATCCACCGTACAGTCCTGACCTGGCACCCAATGACTTTTTTTTGTTCCCAAGCGTGAAGAAAAAACTACGTGGTCAACGATTTTCGACACCAGAAGAAGCAGTTGAAGCGTTCAAAACACACGTTTTGGAGATATCAGTTTCGGAGTGGCACGAATGCTATGACAAATGGTTTCATCGAATGCAAAAGTGTATCGATCATCTCGGGGAATATTTTGAAAAACAATAAAACCATTTTCGACAAAAAACAACTGTGTTATATATGTTTTTAAAAAAAATTATGGAGCAACCCTCGTATTGATTGCTGTAATACATTATGATTGTCACAAAAGCACGTTTTATGGGGCTTTTTCCAAGCTTATCAAGTTTATTTTGTATAAAATAACGTTGAAAGGTTTTTTTCCCTTATATTAGAAACTAGATCCATTTTGCTATTCGTTCACATTTTTCATTCTCTCATTTTCTTCCCAGACACGAAGCAGTCTTTGGAATTTAGTAAACTGATTTGATGGATATGGAATACTAAGATATTTAACAAAACTCTTCCGAAAAAGCAATGAAAACGAGCAGTGTTTTTAGTGTTTATTTATTTCTTGAAGAATGAAGACATATAGTCTTGAAATGCATGACAGAAATCGAACCTCAATAGATTTAAGAAAGAAATTAAGTCAAATACATTTGGATAATAATTTTTTTAAATATCCAAACCAAGTGTGCATCTTTATTAGAGCTTTACAGCGTATCAATTTAATTTGTTATTCAATTCAAAATTTTGTATGATAGATTTTGTATGGATCGTGGACGCTTTTCTGTAGAGTTAATTTGCAGTCACGAATGGAACTGTATTAAACTATTGAATTTATGCGTTGATTCTGGTGTGGATGGTGTCCAAGTGTCTCTTCATATTAATTTTTTGCGTGAAGGACTTCATACAAATTTCGCATCGGAATGGTTTTTCACTAGGTTTTTCACCGTTGTGCTTTCGCATATGCATTTTTAACTTAGTTATAACAACAGTGAAAAATTCCTTACAGATATGACATTCATATCGACGTGATTTGCACACTTTTTCATGTGCTGCTTGATCGGACTTCTGGGTAAATCCATTGAAACAACCTCGGCAATGGAACGGAATTTGTTCGGTGTGAGTTACTTTGTGCTTCTTCATGTGATATGACTGTATGAATTCTTTGCGGCAAATATCACATCGATACGGTTTCTCGCCTGTATGGATTCGTGAGTGTGTATTAAGGTTACCCTTTTTATTGCTAGAATATTCACAAAGTTGGCATTTAAATAGCTTCTTCACCTCCATCTGATTTGACGGAATTGACTTTATAGTCGAACGCGTTGAAGCGTTTTGCGTTGGCCGTATATTTGATGTTTTTGTTGTGCTGTTTTCGAGTGTAAAATCATGATTTTTTTCAGCGCCATTAGCGACTTCTGGTTGATTGTTCGATGTCACAGTGGATGTACGTTTATTCACAACAGCGCTTCTAACATATGAATCATTCTTGTGACTTTTGTCATTCAATCTGGTGTCTTGGCTCGCGATCACTGCTGGGATGATAAGTTCACTTCCAGTTAAGTTACTGCGTCTATTGTAGTGATTTGTTTTTAGATTAATCGTACGCTTCCTGATAACGGTCGAACCAATACAACTTTCATTGATCGATGCTCCACTTCCTCCATGTTGCCCCGATCGACCGCCAATAACAGTAGCAGTTGTGGGTCGCTGCATTGTAAAATTGCGAATAGATTCAATCGAAGTATTTCCCAACATTTCGGGCGCTCTGCCGGTGTCTTCTTCATCGCTTGAATCATCGATTTTAATGCAATCAATCTTCTGACTTCCAATTGGCTCAGTCATGTAATGAGTTTTAGTATGAATTGAGTTCAGTATTTGGGATCCATCGTATCTTAGCATGCTTGAATCTGCACCAACATCGATTTGCTCTTCAAACATTGAATTAATTTCGAATTGATCATACGTATTCTTGATCCTACATTAACCATAATGAATAAATAAAAGCTTATCCAAAAGTATTGACCATGAGAATTTTGATATCTTTAACTCACCGATCGTATGAAGTGCGCAGAAAATATTGTTTGAATTCTTCGTTGAAGGACAAACCACTACTTTTAAGTGTAATTCGAATTTTTCCCAAAGAAATTGTTGCCTGGCTGTCGAACACAGCAAGCATGATGTTCATCTCGTTTCTCCAGCCCATTGTTGATATATTCATCTAAATTAGAAAACAGTGATATGGCATATTTTCACGTGGACTTGGTTTAAACAATTATTTTTGCACCATAACCAATGACTGGAATGGCTGTATGGTTTGTAATGTTATTTTATTCAACCAACCGCGCATTTGCAAGTACCCGCTTAGTACCCGTAAGTAAACCCAAGAGTAATCCTCTTACAGTATCAAACACTTAACATCAATTGACATCCAGTAAAGACAGCCGCGTGGGTTATTTTTATACTGGAAGTCAGCTGAGGTTCAGTGTGTGGTACAATAGAAAAAAAATCAGAGCATTTACCTACCGTGTCTTACACTGAGCATAACTAAATTTGGTTATAGCTACCCTTACTCTTTCTTACCTTGTACTTATTAATTCTTTGCTACACGAAACTTTTGGTGAAAAACTCAAGAATGATGAGTAGAGCAGTATCCTCGCGGTTTATTGGGATGTTTGAGACTTTAAATGCTTTTAAATCAATGAAACACGTGCTTTGTGCAAGACAAAATATGATGACAGTAACTATGCTACTTTGAAGCCATGGCATGAGCTGTCAAAAGAACTGTTCGCCACGCTCATTTCAGCTTTGCGACCAATTCAATTCGCTGCTGGTATTTTTGAATATTTGTGGTCAAAAAGGGTCAGTTAAGATTCAAATTGAGAGAATAAATAAAATTTATTAGTAGCAGATTTTTTATTTGGTTAGAAATAAAACGTCTTCTAATACCAGAAACCGCTGGAATTAACATTTATTTGGTGTAAATCAACAATGTAGTTGGGATTACATTTTTAACTATGCTATAATTTATTGAAAGTAGTGATTGGAGAAAAACTCGAAATGATATAAGTATGCTAACATAAGAATAATAATGTTTGAAATGTCTTATTATGATGTGTATGTGCTGCGGGATTTTCTTGGTAGAGTAAATTCCCATAATCACGTAAGAGCCTGTAGTGTTTTCCTGATTAGCAGAATGAAAACTCAAAATTCTATGTTATAAAGTAAGATTTGGTTTACAATCATGATCAAAACTGTATTGAATGACTGCTTTTATGGGTTGATTCTGGTGTGGATGTGTTTTCAGATTTCCTTTGAGTGTAAAATGGTTCATACAAATCTCGCATCGGAACGGTTTTCACCATTGTGCTTTCGCATATGTGTTTTCTAGAGAGAGAGTTATACTAACAGTGACCAACTTCTTGCAGATATGGCATTCATATCGACGTATCTTGCACACTTTTTCATGGGAATCTCTTTCGGCCTTCTGGGAAAATCCATTCAAACAGCCACGGCAATGGAACGGAATTTGTTCAGTATGAGTCTTTTTGTGTCTCTTAAGGTTCTGCACAGTTGTGAACTCTTTGCGGCAAATATCACATCGATACGGTTTCTCGCCTGTATGGATACGCAAGTGTCTATTAAGGTTACCCTTTTTATTGGTAGAATATTCACAAAGTTGGCATTTTAATCGCTTCTTCGTCACCGACTGGTTTGATGTAGTTGACTTTTTATTCGAACGCAATGCACCTTCTGCTTTTGGCCATGTATTTGATCTTCTTGTAATATTATTTTGCAGTGCCAAATCATGATTTCTTACGGTACCGTCAGCGAC